CCAATTTGCAAACACAGCCATGGACAGTGAGACTTGGACTGCCTGGGAAATTGTTCTGGCTGTGATGGCCCCTGCCAGGGCCAGCCCACAGGCTGCAGGGCTGGACCTTCATGCACTGGAATTCATTAGGAGAAATCAGAAGCAAATGAGAGTTTACAATACAGGAATAAGAATTCAGATTCCTCCAGGACACTTTGGTTTGATAACTGCTCACTGGAGCTTGGCCTTGCAAAGGGTTCATGTCACGGGAGGAGGAATTGATGCAGATTATCAAGGAGAAATTGAAGTAAGTCTGTTAAACAATAGTGAAAAAGATTTGATTGTTCAACCCCATGACAAGGTAGAAGAAATATTGATATTGCAATTGAAAAAATAATTGTGAAGAAAGAATATCCACTTTGTAATAAAGAATTGGATGAATAAAAATTCGAAAGAAAAGGTTTAAATAAAGTATATGTAATTGTAAATGATGAAAATATGGAATGAGAAATCCTCCTCCAGGTCGAGGCAGGATTTCTCTTCCAAAGCAACAGATTGCAGCCAAGCACCCAGATAACAATCGCAAGCAGGCACATCAGCGCCGAAAGAATGGGCAGGACACGGGCCATCGAACAAACAAAAGAACGGGCCCGGACGAGATATCGCCGAGCCCGAGCATCTCCGCCCTGACCACCTGTGCTGGAGAAATGGAGAAACTAGACAAAGGAAGAGGAGCCAGCCGAGATAGCCATCGGCTCCAGGATGGGTGCCACCACTCCACCCTAATGGCCCGGACCAAAATGATATCAAAAAGACATCCTGGACCTCTTTACATATGAGGAGCCTCTGCCCAACGTCTATTGACTCTATTCTCCAGTGCCAGGAAATCTATTCTTCGAACAATCAAGAACCTCTTAGCAAAGGGTGCCTGCTTGGAATTTGGCCTCGGGACACAAACTTCCTATAAAAACCCAGGCCAAAGGACTCTCAGGCGTGGATTTGGGAGCATCTATACCTTGCGTATAGACCCTGTCCACCCAGCGCTGCGCTGCTTATTTTATTGTGGTTTTTTTTTCTCTTTGTTCGAATTTATTATTGTTTGATAATAAATTTTCTCTTTTATATAACCCGAAATTGCCTTTGCATTTATAACAGATTGGTGCCGTGACTCGGATCGGAGAAATTGCAGGAGAATCTCGCTACCCAGGACGGGTACCCCCGCTGATTTTAGCGGCCTGGTGAGTCGAGAATCTCCGCAGCTCATTCCGACATCCGAACCAAATTTAGGCTAAGGTAAAAACCACAATAAAAAGGAAAAAGGATCCAGAGAGCTCGGGAAGGCGAGGAGCCTTCGAGAAAGCCGCGGCTTGGTAGCTCGTAAAAAGTCATCTGTGCACGAAGACACCCTCGCAGGAAAATAGCTGTAAGTATTGTGAGGTTGAGCTGATGATTGGGCGATTGTGTGAGACGTGATCTGATCACGAAGCGAGTGCGGACTTCAAGGTCGCGGTTCCATCCTCCCGCGAGGGAATTGGCCGGCCGAGAAGGAAGCGATTCGGGGTGAAAAAGTTCTCTCTTTACACGATTGTAAAAACCTGGGACGAAGGAGGTCCTGGGGAACCGATCACAGGAGGCTGAAAGGGGAAGAGGACGTCCTGTCGAGCTCGGGAATTAGTAAACCCTTTCAGTCAACGGACCTAGGCAAAGGTCCAAGAGAGAATCGAAGTGCTGAATACAAGAGACTCCAGTACAGCTAACTGCAAGGTGAGTATTAGCAAAGACTTTGATTCATCTGGTAAAGGCGGAACGAACACAACGCAAGAAAGGTAAGGTATTTTTCAATATGGGACAAAGAAAAAGTAAGATGCAGAAAAAGAGTAATGAAAAGGGTCCCTCTGAGAGAGAGAAGGGATCACTAGACATCCCACCGGAAAGTCCCTTGGGATGGATGTTAAAATATTGGGAAAATTGCTCTGAGAGAAAAAAGAAATCTAAGGCAAAAATGATCTGGTATTGTGCCGAAGTCTGGGGAGGGCAAGAACTGAGAAACCACCTCACTTAGCCTGTGGTGGGCACATTTGAAAGGTGGACGTGTAACGAGTATATTTGTGAAGTATAGAGCAGAGAAAAAGTAAGCTACAAAGAAAGAGCACAGGGAAAAATCCCTCCAATCCGGAGGAGAGAGATCACCAGACATCCCGCTGGAAAGTCCCTTGAAGTAAATGTTAAAACACTGGGAAGATTGTCCCCTGAGGAAAGGGAAATCGAAAGAAAAATTAATACATTATTGTATAGAAGTTTGGGGAAGACAGGAGTTGAGAAGTCACCTTACTTAGCCAGTGTTAGGCACATCTGAAAAAATAAACCTGTAATAAGTTGTTCTCCTATGTGGAGAACAAGGACCCCTCGGACCCCGAGGAGAGGGAATATGCTAAGCTCTGGTTAAACGCCAGGGTAGACGGCTGTTCCCAATGAAACAAAAACAAAAACGTGAGTCGAAAACTGAATCCTAGGAACCCCTTGACCACTTACCTCCCCCGTACCATGGACTGGCTGGGCTGTCGTCCCCAGATCAAGTGGTGCCTTCAGCACCTTCGGGCCCCCGAGACCAACCCACTGAGATGCATCTGTCTCAAGCGGGAGACTCGGTGCTGGCAGCGATGCTGGCAGCCCTTCCCCTTTCCCAGCCTGCAAACACTGCAGCCACAGGAGTCTCCTCAGAGGTTTCTCCGGCACAAGGCTGGGGACAGCTCTATCCGTCCTTGCCGGTCCGGCCGCCACAGCCGGGACCCTCACACTTAACTGAAGGGGTCCCTACCGGTAACCGGGTGGCAGGGGAGTTCCCACAATCAACAGAAGAGAAAACCCCCACAAACCTCAGTTCCCCTCCTGCAAGTAGAACTCGTTTGAAAGCAAAAATGATGGGCGAGGAGGGGGGAGAGAGTAGTGAGAATGAGCACCGGTCGTTCCCTCTCAGGGAAGTACCGACAGCCCCGGGAGTGATTGGATTTGTGAATGTTCCTCTTAACTCCGGGGATGTGCTAGCGTTTAAAAAGGAGATGGGGCGATTGTTAGACGATCCTTTGGTGTGGCTGAAAAGCTGGATAACTTTTTAGGAAGTAGTATTTACACATACGATGATCTTATGGCCATCCTGAGATCGCCTGTTTAATCAAGAGGAAAGAGAAATGATTAAACAAGCTGGTATCAGAGACTGGGACCGACGCAGTCCACAGGGGACACCAGGTGACCAGAAATGGCCT